CGAGGGATGGACACATAATTTGAGGTAGCTAACAACTCGGTTTTACATATCTGAAGAACTTCTATAAAATAACACAAACTGCTTGCCAACCAGACAAGGCATCTAATTGAGACAGGCGTTGTCAAAATGTGTAGCCACACCAGGCTAGTAAAAGGGACTAGGCGTTTCTTTGAGACTAGGCTTTTAGTTGAAGTTTTACAATAACTATTTTTGCAAGAATTGCTCAGTTGGCAGCACAGTGTCTGCCCTCCTGTATTCTCCTTATATTGACTTGTGTCTTGAGGCTCTTTCCTGAGCTAGTTAATTAACAGGTCCATGTTTCTGCTGACCAAAGTTTCCTCCTCTTAACTACGATTAGACACAGTTACCGATCGTAAAGCCTCCTCTCCTCTGGGGCCACACACTGGCTTTCCCTTTCTCCCAGTCTTTCATATATCCATCTGTTCACAGTCTATCTAAGTCCCCATCTCATGCCAGCTCAGTGCCGCTTACAGGTTGCAGGCCCTCATCGTTTTCCTCTATGAAATAGCTTTCACACACACTGTGACTTCTCCGGAATGTGAATGAAGCTGCTGCTGAGGAGTCGTTCTCTACTACCTGTCAGTCAAAACCCTTACTATGATATGGCAATCACATCACGTGCACACACACATGCATGCACACACACACGTATGCAAAAAAAACAAAACAAAATATGGTACTTGCAGTCGTGTATTATGTACTGGCAGTCTTTTCCTCGGAGCAGTAAATAAATAATGAGAACACTGTTAAAATTCTGCCAGTATTGCTCTGCTGCTATCAGCCCTCTGCCTCCCTGCTCTGCCTCCCTCTAAAGAACAGGAAGGTCTCGCTTGAAAGAAAGAGGCTGTTTTTCTTACATATTTTTATTCCTCTTACTTTAATCTCCCCACTGTTCACCCTTCTCTCCAGCTCCTTTACTTCGCCTTTACTCAACATGAAAAACTTGCTGGCTTTCTTTTTCTTTCACTCATGTATACATAATATTTTCCATTTACATTTTTACGAGACAGAACCTTCCCATTCGTGCATTTTAGTGATGCACAACTGAGGGAACATGGCACATTGTCTTGAGGAATGTTACAAGAAGACGTGAACGCCTTTCAGCTCTCGTGGATCTGTGGAGGTATACTGATGTCAGACCAAAAGGTACAGTTCAGTGGAGGAATAGGAAGAGAGGCATACTCCAGGCTATCTGCCCTTTGTTCAGATTAGTGAAAGAAGTGCAAGAATCAGTCATAGATAATGGGCGATGACAGGTGCTGGTATTTAAGCTGGATACAGATCATGACATGAGCTGTACAAGGTGGATCTGTCTGTTTAAATGTAATGATCTCTACTTCTCTGTCTTGTGGAGTGGGCAGCTGATATTTCAGAGTATTTCCACATTACACACTGACCTTTAGTGCTGGGGATGAAGATCTGAAGCAGACAGATTGGGGCTGAGTGATGCACCACCAGGGCAACAGACAACAAGACATGAAAGATGTCTGCCTGTGTGCAGTTGTGTTTAACTACGTATGTGGTGAATTACAGCTCAGTTGCCAGAAGAAAATGTTGACATTGTTCGTTTCTGCGAACTACAAATACGTCACATTTGTATGTTTCATACATCTATCAATATTTCTAAAGTGACATAGTATATGAACCGTGTCACCTTGGCGAGACACCTGCCAGCTGCAGACCACAGTTCAAGACCAACAAACATCAAAACTAGCTGTGATATAGTGAGTCACTGATGTGTTTCCAGCAGCTTTTTAGGCACAAAACATGAGTACTTTGAAGGCGATCTGTCTCTGTGTTTCCAAAGAAGATAGTGGCACGAAAAGTGTTTGTTTTTTACGAAGAAACTGTTGCTATTCCACTTGGGATATTGCAATGAAAGTGGTTGTTTTCCTGCAGTTACTGCCAGGATAGTCTCGCTCACCAGACCTTTCTCAAGAAAAGAAAGGTCTGGCTGCTCCGACTCTCACTTTAAGATTGGAGAAAAAAACGCCCCGGCTGCTTGTATTTCTTTTAACCAATCGTTCTTGGCGGTGCCAGCAACGGTGCACTTGCAAAAGTATTGCCAGGGGGAAACAGGTTTTGGTGTAACACGCCCACAAAAATATCGCCTACAGGACGCGAACCATGGCAGAAAAATGGCTACATCCCCACAAGATCAAACACCGCAAAAGTTAGTAAAGGACGTGTTGAAAACTGCTCCACAACCGGAGGTGGTAGGGCGGGCCTTCAGCGGGTGGCTTGTTCTGCCCAATGATCTATGCAGCGAACTTCCGCCCACTCAGACTACTGCCAGGACAATGTCACAAAAAGCAATTGTTTTTTTACCAAGACATCACTGCCTTTCCTGCTGGGATAGTTTGTTTGTTTTTGTTTTGTGATGTCACAACTCTACGATATTAGAGCGATGCCGTTGCAGCGCGCACATGTTCCCGAGCGCCTATTTTTCAGGGCGCGATGGCTTTGCCTTTAGATAAACAGAGCTGAACTTTTGAAACGCAGCAGCGCACACCACATGTCATGTGATGAGGAACAACCAATTACAGCTGGCAGATATCTTTTCCTTGTTTCATAATTATCAGTCTTGGTAAGTATGAAGAAGAAGTTTATTGTTTTAGTGAGGGGCTGCCAGAGCTTAACATCTGTCCCACGGACGATATTTTTAGCCTAATACACAGTTACAAAATAACGCCTGGAAGATGATCAGCTCTGCACTCAGGATTTATGGTATGCAGGCTATGATATGATGGTTATGGTCTCTTAGCAACCTCAGATGCAACCTGCCTCCACGCCCTTGAAAATTGGTACAGAGTAGGCACAAGACCTGCACCTTAAGACACTGCATGTGTATGGCCCCTCTATGAATAAAATCAGATGGCAGAAAATAAACATGGTCCCAAGCTGTGGCCTAGAAATGTAATTCTAGTGAAATGGCCTATAAGATAGAAAAATGGTGCCTGCGACAGAGGGTAAATTACAGGTATATCCAGGAAGACAGTTTGAGAACAATAATCTTGTTTTTTGAACATTAAAGCATGTAAACATGATCTAGCAGAAACCCAAAATACAAGTATGAAGCTGAATATGAGCATAATATGAGACCTTTAAGCCAAAGTACGATCATTTCCTAACCATAACCAAGTGGGTTTTGTGCCTAAACCACGAGTTAACCACAGTGCTGTTGAAATGTAATGTTTAAATGTATTGTTTCAACTTATCTGTCTGGTGGGTCACGGTCCAAAAGTGTGTCCTGGGTCCAATCTGAATGGGCCACAAGTGACTCCCAAACATGTCAAGTTTGTAAAAAACACACTTTATTTTGAAGTACAGTAAATTTCCAGCACGGAACTTTTATTCTGAAGTGTTGTTTTCTGCTGCAGAGTGCGTGACTAACCAACACCTACTTAACAGAGACAGCAAATTAGTCCAACAACATGGCCAAATGCAAGTATGATGCTGAATGTATTAAACTGTGTGGATCTTGAACTAATGACTGAGGAGAAATCTGGACCCTGTGGCTGGACCAGTTGGGAACCACTGAGCTAAATAATAATGTGCAAATGTAACTATCCTTGGTTTACAGAAATGTACAATGCCAACATTTTTTCTGCTGACAAGCATTGCATGTTCAGTTTCAGTGGCTCTGCAGCATTCTGGGGGCTAAAATATGTGTAAACCTGTTGAACTAAGAGCCAACATGAATTTCAAACAGCAAATATCCCAAGACAGGAGAGTAAAAATGTGTTTATGAGAGAGAGGCGCAGATAAATACATAAGTGACACGGCACTGCGCGCTACAGAAGTTGTTCCTCATTTCTTGGCAGCTGATAAATGAGTCTCTGATGTGGCAAAGAGAAGGTTCAAACACACAAAGACAGACAAATAGGAAAATGACAGGTAGGAAATTACAGTATCGCCATAAAAAGCTCAACCTTGAGTGTGGTAAATAAAATTCTTTTAACGTGTTGGTATCAGTGACTCTAATCCCGTCTGCCCTGTGGACTGCCTCCTTTCTCCCGCCCCGAGGTACTTGGCAGAGGCACTGCAGTAAATGTGCCCGTAAAGCCTTTTTTAAATTGAAAATTAGCTAGTGAGTGGCACTCTGATTTTACAGGCAGAAAGGAATCTTACTCACAAATATCTCTCAGGCTGGGCAGATACTTAAAATGAAATGTCTCCATATGCCTCTGTCGCCTCACCCCCTCCTCCTCCTCCTCCTCCTCCTCAGCAGGTCATTCTGATTACTGCAGAAAACCGTTGTTCCACCCCATCTTCAGCTTCTCCGCTGCTCTCCCACACAGTCATTTGCATTTTCTCCCTTGGCTCTCTTCCATATCTTTCAATTTATCCTGTCACACCTGTTATTCACTTGTTTTTCCTCTTTTTCTCCCCTCCAGTGTTTCTTTCCCCTCCTTCTTTGTGGCAGTGCAGAGCCTCATCTGAATGCACAGCCAGTCGTGAGCTCTCTACCTGCTTTGGGCATTTTTACTGGTATGTAAAAGTGCAATCACCCCTCTCTTTCTAACACCATCTCATAACAAGTCAAGGTGACACAGGGATGCTTACATGCCACAAGATGAATTAACCAATTTCCTGCTTGTCTGTGTGTCTTGATAGTGCAGGGCGTGCGTACCTTGACATTTCATTCACTTTTATGCAGCTTTGGTGGTTATCTCGTCCTGTCCTGCTCAAACACTATGCATAGGCTTTCCAGTGCTTGCTCTCTTGCCTGCAGACAAGCAGAGAGAGGCAGGGGAGAGGAGTGAGTAAGGAGGAGGGAGAGGGTAGCAAATGAGGTGTGGGTAAAAATTATGGGGGACTAGAAAAGAGAGCAGTAGCCCAGCCCTGGAAATGAGAGGCAGGGATGGGGGGGGGGGGGGGGGGGGGGGGGGGGGGGGGGGGGGGGGGGGGGGGGGGGGGGGGGGGGGGTGAGAGAGAGAAATTATACAGTGTAAAATCCATGCGTATTCAGCTGTAGTAGTAGTGCAGCGTCCAGATCACTAGGCTCCTCCACCGCTGGGGAACAACCGCCTTTTGTGTTCCCCCCCGCTGCAGTGGGGGAGCGCATTTACCGTCGCGCCCAAGGGGGAGAAGCCAAGAAGTATCCTCCAATCAGCCGTCTGTGATTTCTCTCATCTTGTGGGGCTGCTGATGGTGATTTATCACTGACCTGAGACAGGCGCTGCACTCTGCTCTAACACCACAACCACCTGGAATCCTCCACCATGGTTTTTATTTCTTTTCTTAAACACAAATGCCCTCCTGTGGATATTTCAGATAGACTGACCAGAGGACAAAAGGAGGATTAAAATGGACTTACTGACTGCCAATCTTGAATTTCTTTTTTTTTCCTGCTGCAAACTGAAGATGGACTAACTTTTACAGGTGCCACAAGAGGACACAATCTCACAATCAAAGCTTTAAAAGAAGAATTTAGAATTTTTTTCTGAATAATTTGTCACATTTCATGCTGTATTTTATTTTGAAAGCATGGCAAGCTGAGGATGATTGCAGACACGCCACTGCTATAACCATGTAGGACTGATTCTCAGGTAGATAGAGGTATATGGTGATTGACATGCAATGGAGACGGGGAGAGGGGGTGACAGTTGGAGCACACCTGCCTGCTGAGCGTGTCTGACACCTCGCTGTCGCTTGTTTAGCGCTCCGCTCTCCAGACTATCAGCTTCCCCCAAGTTATCATGCTTCTCAGTGAGTGGAGATAGCTTTTCCGGTGTGTGTATATGACTGTATGTGTGTGTGTGGTTTGTGTTAGAGAGCCAGAGTTTGGGATTACACTGCCTCTGGAAAGGATACAGGTGTAGTGGAGCCTTGAATGAGGATTAGCAGCTCTTACACCTTGTCGCCAGCAGCACACGGGGCGATGGACCTTTCAGACAAGACTCTCGAGTGTCACTGGAGGATCGGAGATAAAGGTTTAACAAATGTGATGAGACTCGGGGGGCGAGGAAGGGGACAGGAGGACAGTTGAGAAAGTTCTGTTGAGATTTTGGTATTCTTTTAAGTCAAGCTATAACTGAATGTGAGTGGAAGTTAGAGGCCATTTATAGTAGCTATTCAAGGACAACTATAATATATCATACAAATACAAATACTGCCTAAACAAATGAAATCTTTGGATGTGCATTGATGATAGCTGCGATAAACAATCTTGATTTCCCCAATATCCCCGCAAAGCACGAAATCCATTTGATCCATGAGCTGGTTTGATATTGATTTCTCCACACAGTCAGGATAGAGTCTTGTCTGATCTCTGCTTGAGAGGTCACTAATTTAATTATAATCCGTCATTCAGTCTCGCCTAGAGCGGTCTTCCAGAGTGCTGACTGAGTACGCTGTGGAGAATCAATGGTCTAATACTTGTCATGATATCTGACAACACATCAGATAAACACAACGCACTCCTGCTGCAGTCTACTATAACAATATCACAGTTTCGCCATGTGTTATTTACGCATCTTGTGTTATTTGAGAAATGACTTCTCCACTGATGGCAGTTCTGCTGACAGTTACAGGAAATTTGGCAGCTCTTGTGCTTGTAGTTGAAAGAAGCATGTGTTGTTGTCTGTCTTGATGCAGGTGTGCGTGTTTTTGGGGCTTGTATACCTGGCACAGGGCTTATCGTTGCTGCACAGGGCTTAAAGATCTAAGGGTGTGACAGGCACCACCTTGCACCACTTGACCTGCAAAACCCTAAAAGTTAAATTAGGAATTACCTGTAACAATGCATAGAGCCTGAAGTGTAGGACAAGAGCAGGGGAGTCCTGACAGGGTGTTCAGGAAGAAGTTATCTCAACAGCCACACTCAGCTTTACTTCAACGATCCTGGAAAGCAGAGGGGAAAGCAGGTGGGAAGCTTGGTGTGGGAGTGAGGAGGAAAAAAACAACAGGACTGAGGCAAGTTCTTTGATAGCTGTATTGTTTCTATCTACCTTGTTCAAAGAGCATCACTGAAAATGTGCTGTTTGGAGGTTTAGCGCTGCGAGTGAAAAAACTCAGGAACAGCGTGGGGGAGTTCAGCTAGAGTTCTGCTGGGGGAAACCTGCTCTATACTGCAGTTTTCAACACCAGGCAGCGAGGTTCACCTTTTGACAAGTCTGAAACAGCTGCCTGATCTATTTAACGACACAAGCACAAAACCTGCTGGACTCTTGGAAACAGCCTCTCTCACAAGATTACAAGTGACACTGGACGATCTACAACAAGCACATGAACTTAAAGAAGCAGCATTTTTGCCTGCGATGGAGACAGAAACAAACAGGTGGTGTTGCAGCTCTGAAACTGTCTCCACATCAGATTTTACTCTGGATTATAACACTTGAATCGTGAACAAGAAGAGGAGAAGACCCAAACAAACTGTGCATCCGTCCCTGGCAGGGATGTGTTGTGAACTCTGAGGAGGAGTAGTGTAGTGTGCCACAAGCCTGCGAATGAGGGTGGGGCTCTCTCACTGCCACAGACAAAGACCTTGATACAGAGAGAGTCCTGGTTTGAGAACTGGTGGTCAAGTGGGGCAGTTTTGGACCTGCACAGTCTGGCACCGTATCAAAAGTCACGATGGGGTGCAACATGTGTGTGGTTCAAAAGCCCGAGGAACAATACAGGGTCATGTTCCAGGTGAGCACTCTGCCTCCTCTCTCTTGTTTTCATTTATTTTTATTTTTCTGTCTTCCAGCATCCCTTTGTGTTTCCTCTTTCAAGTTCTCATTGTCATTCTGTCTTAACTTGGCTCTTTCTTGCAGCAACTGCCGGATGAGTGACGTTCAAAACAGCTCTGATGAAAATGTCATGTGCTCCCAACTGCAGTGAAAATCAACATAACCTCATCATGTTGACACACTCAATTAAACCAAATCATTCACACATTAATTTCCTAATAACCTGTTTTGAATCCAAAATGAATCCAGCAACTGGTTATTTGTTGTGATGTTAATGTCAAAGACGGCATCATCAGGCACTTTATGAATGAGTCGAAACTTTAGCACCATGATATCAATTAAATAAGACATGATAATAGCATGATATAATTATTCAGGTAGATTAGGTGAATTAAAATCATGGCTGATGGGTTTAATAAAAGCTCCACATCATGTGACACATCTCAGGCTTTAGTGTAGATTTTTACATATATAAATTAGCTCAGAAAAAGATGCGCAAATCACTTTGAACCTCTTGAGCAGGGCTGTATTGAAATAGTAATTCAGTGATAATAATACTGATAATTATGATAACGATGCTTCACTGTGATTACAATGATTACGATCAGAGAGCAGAGCTTAATTGCGTAAGATAGAGAGACACGCCGGTGTGGAGGAAGTAGAGTGGTGCAGAGCCACGGAGGCAGCAGGATGGATGGGTTGTTAAAGCCGGGCTAAAGTGTTATGGGAGAGAGGGGTTGCCACGGTTACAGCCTCAGCACCACCTGCCAACTGGGACCACAGACTGTATGTGAGTAAGCTCATCTGGCTGTGCGGTGCCTTAGGAGGCTCCTGCCCGGTGACTCGATGATACACGCGGTGACCGAAATAAGTCCCATGCTTACTAAGCATGAAAAATGCTCGGCACTCATGGGTATGCAGCGCAACAAATATAGTATCTGTGGCACCAGGAGCCTCAGCTGGGGCTCAGTGGCATGTTGGCGTCAGGGTGTGGGCCAGTTAACTGGGCTGCATCTGGTGCCAGAGGCGATGCCAAGAGAGAGGGATATATGGAGGTTGGCTGAGTCCAAATTGAGGCAGGATAATGAGTCAAAGGGGGAAATAGAGTCGAGATAGACAAATAAAAGAGGGAGGGAAAGTGTTTCATTTCTGCTATTTGCCCTTTGAGTAAGTGACTTGAGCTCGTCATGGAGCCAGGGTGCATAGAAAGGCTTGAATGACTTCACAAAGCCCCGGGGTGAAGTGCTAGAAACAGAGGAGCCAGATAGTGTGCGCACTCTCGGATGCGATCATAAAATCAGTGCACCCCATAATCAGTGACCTTATCTAACAGGGGTCAGCAGTAATGACACTGAGCGCATGCAGGTCAACGTCTTTGAAAGTGGAAATCTAATAATCCAACCGATTTGGCGATGTGAGGTCAACTGTGCTGGAAGGTTGAGTCCCTAGAAGTCTGTCATCCCAGAAACGCTCCCAGCTCTGTCAGCCTTAGTATCTGCACGTGGTTCCCAGACGGGCGTGGCGATGAGTGGAGCGAACGCTGATGGCAGGAGATATGTCGTATGATTTGGTGCATGCAGAGCAGTTGTCATGTTGCATGTGAATCTATTGTACGAACTGTGGTTGTGTATGTAGAGCAGATATTTTGAGGTGTTGGAGCTGCATATATTGTGGTCTGGTGAGCCTGAAACGACATTGCTGGCAGGGAGCAGGGGAGCATGAGACAGAGGGAACAAACGCAGATGGAGCACTGAATCAGAGCCACAGCCTTTGGCTTTCAGAGGCTGCAATGAGAACAGATTCTGTGAAACCTTGAGGTCTCATATAAGCAGCATGAGCTGGTAGTTGTTTTTCTTTCTCCGTGAAATTTAAACGGAGTTATTACATGTAATGATTACAAACAGCAATTCTTGCTGTGCAGATGGCTGATTAATCCAAAGATCATGCCAAGCAAAAGATGGAGGTATACTGTGTCCAATCATAAAAAAATCAGCATAAAAGAGGAAACATAATTACACCCCCCACGCATTTCATGGCTTTCCCCTTTAGAGGTTTTCAGCTTTGAGCTGTTTTCCTTAACTAACATGTATAATTACACCTTCAAATTAGACGCAGTCTACTGAGTAACTGTCTTTAGACAATAAATTCAGCATTAAACAGCTTACAGCTACATCAGGCTGCAAAACCAGGCTGTTAAATTTGACTATATCAAAACACTTGCTTCTCATGCCAAAGGAATAGAAATCATGCATTATACATTGGGCCTCTGCTAACACATACGCTGCACGCTCGTGGTTGGTACACACCCATTGGCATGTTTCTGATCAATTTTGCCTCCTATAGCCCCCAGTGAAAAGGCATATTGTTGTTGAGCTGATGGATTACAGCCTCAGTTGTAGAAATACGTGCACATAAACCGTTTGGAGCGAGATATTATACTTTATACACATTTTACAGAGTACCTGCCCACATACACACACAGTAAACCTCTGCCCCCCCCGAGCCCTTCAGCCGCTCCCTTCTTTCTCTCTCCTCCATCAGTGTAAAGCGGGAGGCTGTTTCCATGGCAACCGACGTCATTAAACAAACCTAATGTGCTTTTATTCACAATGACACCAAGAAACATGCTGACAGCCACAAGAGGCAAACTGATGAGAATCAATACATACAAATGACCGGCTGACATTAGCTGCACGGTTGTGTTCACGCCAACGTGTGTGTGTGTGTGTGTGTGTGTGTGTGTGTGTGTGTGTGTGTATGTATGAGTGTGAATGAGATAGATACCCACATGTGAACATATTGTGCATACTGGAGGTGGACAAAATAACAAGAAACACCTGATAATGAAATGTGATGAGAGCAAAGCTATAACGGTTTAGTTTTCAGTGTGGATTTGCTCATTTCAGTTTAGTTTTTATTGTTTCTAAATGTTTAGTCTTATTTGTTTTTTTTAATGATATGGGAGTCATTTGTCAGGGGCAGGATTAAAGAAGTTCAAAATAGGTTTTACAATAAAACATACTTTGTCAAGTCAGTTAAACCACAGTCACGCAGATATCCAACTCTTAATAAACATATGCACAAATGCCTCCTCATGTTTGTTGTTTTGATAAATTTGACCAACTATACAAAGACTAAAACTTGACATTTCTTGTATATCCTTTACTTTTATTTTAGTTAGTTTTGTAAGTACACAGTATAATTTGTTAGTTTTTTTTTTTAATCTAAAGTCTAGATTTTGTTTTTTATTTTAGTTAACAAAGACATTTTTTTTGTCACTTTTCATACTAGATTTTAGGAAAGTTTAAGGTAATAACATTGAATGTAAGCACCACACGTGTGCCTCAACATTACTTTCTTATTATAGTTTCTCAAAGGCATTATGCATTGCAGGGTTATTGTGTTATGTTGCGTTACACTGTCAGGTAGTCCTGCTATGTTGTCCATCGCTCCAAAATTTACAAGTAATACTGTCACTGCAGTTTTCACTTGAGATATATTTCCAAATACTGAATGTAATGTAATGTCCTGTAATTCAATCAGTAACACTTTACTTAAACATTCCTAATGTAGCATCAATAAACAGTCAATACGTATATAATAAGTAATTTGTAAGACATTATAATGTAGTTATAAGCAGATATTAGGACATTTAAGTGTTTGTTAATGTGCAATATTTTCAACAATTATAACCTCTCCTATGAACACGTTATAAAACATTTGTGTAACATGTCATATTCCCAGTCATTATCTGTTTGTACACCAGCATCCTCTGGAGCTTCACAGCAGGAGTTCAGGTTGTTCAATAAACACTTGTATGTGTTTACAACTGCAATATAATGTGTCAGAGACCACTTATTAAATGGAGGCCCAAACCACAGAAATCTTACATTTGCACATTAGTATGTAGCAGATATATGTTGGAACTTTACATTTCTACAATGCTATGATTAACGTGTGGTTAGATTTAGGCACAAAAACCACTTGGTTATGTTTTGGAAAAGATCATGAGAGGCTTAAAATACCTGGTTATAATGGCACAACCCCAGCTGGAAACGCAATGATGAAAAAATAGTTTATTTGTACCACTATCCCCATTTTAAACACAGCAGTGTGTCACTAAAAAAACATGACTGGTGGCTAAAAAGCTGCTGGTTTTGTTGTTGTTGTTTTGGTGTCAAACATGAGTCTGTAGTAGTCTGCAGGTGTCTCCCCTTGGTATCACATCATCCATCATCCCATCCACCTGCCAATGCTGTCATCAGCTCATATACGTTGTCACTCAACATATAAGATACACACATGTAACATATCCATGGTTGCAGAAACATACATATCAAAGCACAAGATGTGACATGAGTGCTTCATGACTATCTTCTGTTTTACTTAATTAAACAGTTAATCTAATTACATCATCTGGCAGATTGCTCGTTACCTCCTGGCTCATCAGCTCAGGAGTGTGTCAGTTTTCTAAAATGAAGTGCAGGTGTGTGTAATACGTATGCGTCTGTCAGGTTCCTGCTCTTTCCCTCGCAGACATCTCAGGCGTGTGACTGACACAGACACGAGACAAAGAGGATGGAGAGGATGTCACTCTCATCTCTCATTTAATAGGACAGGAGTGACAGAGAAAAAGAAAGGGTGGAGGGCAATATTGTAAGGTCATATAGTCTGTGACATGTCCTCCAGACCTACTCGCTCTTCGTCAACCACCTCCAATAACAAAAAAAAAAAACCTGCCCATAATTCTGCTTTTGTTCTAACTGATGAATGAATTGATAAATTATGTATATTCATGTCCTCCCGCTGAGGCTTGTTAGCTCCATCGCCAACATTTCAAAGAATGCTTTAAATCAATATCTTCTCACTGTTATCAGTTTGTAATAGGCCAACCACTCCCTGCTTGTTCATTTAAATTAGCTCAGTGATATCAAACAACAGGGGTTATAGCCGGGGTAG